TACAGTTGAAACTAGTAAATTCTTGGACGAAGTCTTAATAGTCCGAGGAGGTTTGTCATTCATTTTCAAAATACCATTGAGAAATATGTTAGTACAAAGTAAGATGAGAAACTACGTTACTTATATGATGATCTAATACGTTTATTCTTTTATTTGTTATTTTATTTATATATATACTGTAGTGTGATGACTTAATATCTAGCGGAACGACATAGAAGAAATAGATATCCTTTTAATATACAATTTTATAGTTTCAATTGGTTACCTCTAACCGTATTGACGAATAGTGAATTAGCGATCGAAAATATCAGAAATTAGAAAATAAGGCAGATAGAAAATGAAGTGAAAAAAGTAAACAACTGATTAACATTGTATATATATATATATATATATATATGTGCTATACTTTTCTAACAATTTTGACCTGTATGATGGTTTTAGTGTTAATATTAATATCAATGCGGCTGTGAAGCTAACATATTTGACGAGAAAGTAAGCCTTATAGTATATCGGTGTTCATTTATCACGTACGAAAGTCGAGGACGAAAAGCCCGATGTTCCAGCAGCCCCATCTTTTTTTCTCTATCGTTCCTCGACATCGATTGTTACCATTCATCACGACCACCGGATATATTCTATTCTATGGCGCACGTCCCTTATTTGCTGTGTTATAACATTCGATCGTGTCCGATGAAATTAATTTCTCTGAATTCAGGCTGTACCATTGAACACGACCACTAGCGACCCCTTCCTTCACAATGTCGATTCGACACGCCGGCAAATACTTTGATAAGTCTACTATTATAAAAATCCTTTCTTCCTTTACTTATTCATGTAATTAAACAATGGACGAAATAACGGAACAAATAAATTATTCAAGCAGTTAAATCATTTTTGTAAAGCAATTTATTTGATGAAAGGAAAATGGAAAGATAAAAATTGATTATAGCAAGTTGTTATTCTGTTAATCTTTTTGTATTTATGAAAATAAACGTTCAAGGAAGGAGCCACTGTCGCAAAATATATTTAATATAAATGTATTCATTTAAATAAGATGATTTTAAGTGAATCTTCATTTTACATATTGCAATGTTTTAAAAAATGACGCCAACTAAAACACTGAAAACAAGACCAGAGCGATAACCCTGTAAATTTATTAAAAATTGATTTAAATCGATAAAGATTCCTTTTTTATAAATATTTACCGAAACCGTGAATATATTACATATCTCTTTATCAACGCATTCGCATGTTCTAAATTAAAGCAACACAACGAAATGAATTTAGTCGAATGATAAAATGTGCCACACGGAAGATCGTAAAATACACAGATTGAGAATCGCCGCCTCATATAAACGTTACAATAAATCATAAAGTTTCTGAACACGCGAAAAGATAATAGAAACAGATATCTCATGATCAATTTCCCAGTCGACGTTCCATTAATCACGAAATAAAATCGAAATTTTACTTCAGGCTTGATACCAAATTTAACTGAGGCAGAAACAGAGGAGACGTTTCTGAAATAAGAAACTTCAATCGTTCGTATCAATGATGATAGATGTTACAGCTCTGTCGCGTCGTTCCGCTTCGGTCTTCCTCGGATTAAGCTGCGGAAACGTTGAGCCCTGTAAGATCAATCGTACCCGCCACACGATGCACCAAGTTGCAGCTGCGACGCGTTTCCTTCTTCCGGTGCATCTCCTAGCAAATATGCCAGTCAGAACGTTTTGTATTCACCGACAGAATATTGACGATAAAAGGTGAATAATATAAGATATTATATTTCCAAGTATTTCTTTAACACTAAAACTACCCGGTGGATCAAAGTGACTCACTTCAGAACATTTTTTTCCGCAAGTATTTAAATTATAAAGGCGGTTTTGCGAAAGATTTTTAATTAAATTTGTGTATTTGTACAGGTACAAAACTAGGAGACTCTTCAAATTTCAAGAAATGTATTGTTTTAATTTTTATAAGTTATTATAAATAAGTCACTTAAATTGTTTAACGGTTATAATATTAATAATACAACTACCGTACCAGTGGAAATGACTGATTTCGATTTGTTTGTTCCGCAATTATTGATATCTTAAAAGCATTGAATATTTAAAATGATGTTGAACATAAATAGGTTCACTGGAATACTATAATGAATGTCCGACGATACTGAAAATAATCTATTGTTACAATTTTCATGCGGATTACATATTATTCGCATTAAATGCTCGGTAGTTCTAGTGTTAAGCGTAGTTAATGAAACACGTGCAATTACATGATAGAGATTACAGCGAAAAATCCGTTATCACTTATCGTTATTATCATTTGAAGGTATCTTTCATAACCTAGTCTGGAATTACTACTATTAATTTAATTACTATTAAATTCCTATATAGGTGACACAACTTTTCATATAGATTTAATAATTAATTTTCTCGGTGATACATGCAACAAACTAAATTTAATTGGATCTATAAGACGCAAAAAGATTCAGATGGCAATCTTTGTGGAAAATCTTTAAGCTTATATAAAATAATTTCCATCATTTACGTAACATGTATAAAATAAAATAAACTTTAACTGTAATTTCTAGCGAACTTTTGACAAACGTGTTATTATTCAGCTATTTGAAGAGTCGATTAATATGCAAAAATGAAGCAATTTCTAGACAGCTGGTTAACTTGCCGATAGGAAGGGAACTCAAATTCAGCGACCACCCTATCCACGAGGCGACTAAATAAATGTTGCCTCCCCGTATTTATCTCTTCAACCCCACGTTCATAGGGGATGGTCAGAGATTGTGTCTCGACTTCAGCCAATATTTAAAAATAATATCTGCAACTGAAAAAAGTATTTACTAACATTGAGATATTAATAAATAATAAAACATTAACAAATATTTATTATTTAAAAATATTGTAATCTTACATGAAAATAAAACTTAACGTATCTATATTTTACTCTTCAATTTTGTATATATATATATATAATTCTCGTTAAATCGTCACAATTATTCCAGCAAAATGTTCTTATTCGACATTCAAACACCGTAAAAAATAAAATTCCGTTGAAATTCATTAGAAGAAAACCACACAATCTTTAAAAATGGTAAATATCCGAAATTTGAAATATCGTCGAATCTGACTAATAGCTGAAGGACATTAAAATCTCTTTTTTAATATGTTCTACAGCAATGTAATGTAACGGTACAAGGAAAAAAAATTATTTTTCCACCAAATGATTTGTGTTTAACGATTTCAAGCCACTGTACGCTATTACTAGCATATTTGACGAGAATGTGTGCTCTACCGTGTATCGCTATCCAATTTATCATATACGAATAACGAGAAAAAAAACGATGCACTAACAGCCCCTTTTTCGCCTGTCGTTCCCCGACATCGATTGGTATCATTCATCAACGCTTTCGGATATGCATATGTAAGTACGCTATGTTACGGGATACCTTATTCGACACGTTGCTACATTTGATCGTGTTCGCAGAAATTAATTTCCCTCGATTAGCTGTGTCGGCGATTGTGACCACAGTTAATTATAATCCCCGCCTGTCTCATTTCGTATAATTGGTGAGCATATCGAAAGATTACCACCCACTGAATTTCAATAATTTTTAAATATATTATACCATATTATTATCATTTATTATCATCATTAAATGATAATTATTAACATTATCATCAATATTAACACGTTGAATGCCATGGAGGGTCACGTGTGACCACCAACCAAATCGAATTATTATGGGTCACTCGATTAAATGATGATTATTTAAAAACATTTCTATATTATAAATAATGCTACCTAATGCGGTGATATTCAGCTAAATGACCGTGGAATAATAGTAATGCAATTCGATCAATTCATTTAATATTATATCTTTTCCATTTTGTGTGTTTTGCTCTATGAAATCGTGCGGCATTCAACGTGTTAAATTAGTACTTTGAATAATTACTTCCTGTTTGTAAATACATAGGACTAGTTTAATTTTCGAGATATTTGCAGAAATGTCCGTTCATTCATTGGAAATGTTTTGTACTTTTGTACTTGAACTGCTGGCGAATGATGAATTAATGATAGAATATAAACAGAGACATAAACTAGCCGTAAATTCAATGATTGAACATTATAATGCAATTAAAAGGCACCTAGTTTTCTAAGGTTGCAACTCATGCACGACAAAAAATAGAAATAAATCAGAATTTTGTGCCGTCAGACCTACTGCAGCGCTTGAGGGTTAATATATTTTTGCAAAAATAAAGAACATTCCCGATAAACCCCCTTATCATTCTTCTCCTGAAACAGGAAAACTATGATTCTATAATTTCCTATAATATTTGCTAGAAATTAGTATAATCCCAGTAGAAACTATCTAACTTGCTAGAAATTTTTTTACTTTTTAAATTTCAATAATTCTTATAAGCCCTACACTACACATCAATAACTGTTCCACTTCTGAAGAGATTCTTGTCCCCTGTTCTTTGTACCTGTAACGTAATAAACATTTATGGTTAATAATGTTCCAGAAAAAAGATATTGAAAATCAGTCGATTTTACTGTTGTATAAAATGTGGAATAAATACTATAATATATCTCTGTTATTTATATCCTTAACAAACATCATGTTCTCGAAAGATTCGTTTTAAGTAATGTCTGTCAATTATTTAACATTCAGCAGCTCATACATAACAACATATTGTTAAGTGAAAGTATTGTGTTACTTGTTTAATAAAATATTTGAATTAATTTGACGGGGCCACTGCAATGAATTCTATTTACGGATCAATGAAGTAAAATATATTATTTATGTGTCAACCAAATGTTTTTCATCAACAATGCATTTTATATCAGAAATTCAATACGGCGTCAGGAAATGTTATCATTTCATTGAATGCATGAAAATTATCGCGAGACACGTTAAATTGTTCGATGATAAGATTGTTGGTTTGGAGAAGGGGGTAAACTAAATCTCGCAGTCGCGTTCATGACGATTCATGGTTTGATCGCGCAGACAGACGGACACAGTTTCGCCGCTCCCAATTCGAACATTGTTCGTCGGTTCTGTAATATCTGCTCTAAGTGTTACGTCTGATACAAAAATGACAGGTGAGTAATGAAACTATTTCTAACGTGATTGTATAATTGCCTGCAATACTATTGACCAGAAAGTCTCCATTGCGTGTGATGATATAATTAGACTGCAGATTGTTTAGCTGTTATGAGAAATTTCAAAGCAAAATTACTTTTCATTTATTTGTGCAAAATTATGCAGAATGTACATGACACGAGAAAATGTATAAAACACCTGAGGTATAGTGCTTTTTATAACGTTTATTAGGGAAAAACCGTTTTTTTATTGAAGCTTTGCTTTCCCAATGATATTTTAAAAAATATTAATTTGCGTCGTTTATTAAATATACAAATTTTAATTATTCTTGGAATCTTAACAATGATATTCTATTTTTACAATAAAAATTATTCTTATATTTTTATATCCCTAATAGTATCGTTCAATTCATTATAATATTTTATTATTGGAACATTAATAATAACAATAATAATCCAAGAAGAATAATATCATAAATGCATAAGAATACCACTAATAATAGTAAATAAAATAAGATCGAATGATCAGAGGAATATAACATGAATTAATCTCCTCACTTACAATATCAAGAGAATCATGATGGAGGTATTATCAGAATGAATTTAATAAATATGGATACAACTGAAACCACATTGATTGAAGGGAAATAATAATTTCAACGTATGAACATTTATATTTTACAGCAAATGTGTACTACAATTACAGTGAATACTTATAAATGTGTACTGCTTTACCAGAAAATTATGAAAACTGAATTTATTCTTATAGGAATGATTATCCAAAAAAATTATAAGATAAAGCGATAACTGGATATGAGTTAAATGTAAGAGAACAATAAGGAGACTATTGAGCTTTATTATCATACTTGCGAATTTGCAAAATAAAGAAACTGCGTATACCCAATTAATAACATATCTATTTAGGTATCTTATTATTAATGTTAGTAATCTTTCGTTGGATGAAGTAAATTTCTGTCTTTTCTCTTCTGGTTTTTATAAAATACTCTACAAAACTGGGAATTCACATGAAAATGCACAGTCCAGTGGCGTTATCGTCTTATATAATACGTGAGTATAGCGAAATGATACCAAATGAGCTAATTAAATTATTTGAACGATAGCATGCAAGGCATATTATATATTTATCAAAACCTTTTTTTATTTCTGTCCATGTTAATCCAATTCTTTTTCAATTTTATATAAATTTACTTGCTGGCTAACTGCCAATACAATTTCTACACTGTCCTCATTAAAGCGATAAAGCAATTTACCAAACGGTTTTTTATTAAAAAGAAATTGCAAACTGCACCAGGGAATTAATAATGAACAGTACTGTGAATATACATAATTTAGTTACTCCCATGACAATATACACAGAAATATTTATACAATGCAGGATATTTCACAATTCAGATATCTCCAGAATGAATGTAGTGATACTACGTAATAGGGCGTCATCGATATGTATTATCAAGATCAACATGCGTCCAGAATTAATTACCACGTGATTCATCGAGTAGCTTTATATATTTTTCATTTCCTTTTTGACAGTACGAGGGAAAGTGTATTTCTGTGGAAAAAATGAAGTGTTAATTTTAGAAATGTACTAATAACAACGAATTATCGTTATCTCAGGTTTTCAGTTAATCTTATCGCTATCGGTGTATTTCCTCTTGAAATACAGAAATGTTCGCTATACCAGGTGTCCCAAATAATTATACAGACGCTAATAAAAAGCAAATGTTACGGAAAAATACAAAAAACTTGGTGAAAAATAGTTATTTCTTCACGTGAAGTTCTATCGGTAGAGAACCTCGATTTCTCTTGACATAAAGATAAATAATTTAAAATCAAATGTATTTGATAATGACTTTAGTTAAAGTCAGGTATAAACCTTACTTGCCTTTTTCTTTTACTTCGTGTCTCATTTCAAATCATTTATAAATACCATTAGTCTGTTTTTCAATGGTATTATTAAATAATATTCATTTATTGATAAGAGCTGAATCATACGGTCTTTTGGAACAAGCATTAAGTAGGATTCATTTATTGGTAAAATCAATAATTACAATATACACTGAATCATTTTCAGATAATAAATTTCACGCGATTGCACAGATAAGATAAAAGAGTGTCGATGAAAACCATTTCCTTATAATTTTTTATGACACGTTTAAAATCGTCAATCATATAGTACTTTCGTCTTGATTGAAATTTTATTACAGTTTTGTTATGAAATATGTTCCTTTTCACAGATTATTTGTCAATAAAAAAGTGTGAAAATTCCTCAAACGTAAAATGATTCGAATAAAATTTACAAGATGCTTATTGAGTCTTTGTTTTTTAATTTTAACTAGATTATTTAACTTGATAATCTGCATTGGCTGAAAACTACAAAAATCCGATCGTTTTACATGTTATTATTGTTAATTTCAATTAAGCAATTAGCTTTACAAATTACAAAATGATCAATATTCAATCCCCAAGTATACGCTTTTGTATTTACAGATTTCCTTATAGATAATAATATAATAATAAAATATTATATAATAAAAACATGAAAATTGAAAATAGAATTCCTAATACTTGAATGATAAATAAGTTACAATTGTAAGAAAATATCACGACATTTCTGTAATAATTATATATCGCTATTCAAGTTACATTACATCCTATTGCCTTCTTCAAATTGTTACTCTATATTTATTTTACACTCCATGGTGAAACCTGCCCACGAGTTTCAATCGATAGATTATTCTGTTCAAAATGTCCTGCCTTTGACAAAACGCATTCCAAATCAGGATTTAATGGCCTCTCCGCGCGTAATCCCGTCGACGTATGCATGTAGGTAACTACTGATTGCTTGAAATTAGCAACCGAGAAATTCACAGTGATTCGTAATACCGGAGTTTCTAGCGAACAACACGGTCCGCGAGATATGTACTATTAAATCACCGTGTTTCTACACTGCGCAGTGGAAAACGCTTCGACACCTCGCGCATTGAATTTAATGACTTCACATATCGTTGAAAATCGTTCATTACACCATTAAAATATAAATTAACGCTTTACCTGCCACAAGTATATTTAATCGACAATTCGATTGCGAATGCTTGTTAAAACTACTTATCGTTAATAATGCACTAGTGAAATAAAAAATTCCGCACGCTTTCTATGCATAGAGTTACTCTAAACCATACAAATTGTTAATAAAAAGGATAATGTTTCATTCGAACTCAAAAGAAGTAAGCGATATTCACATTTGTTAAACCATACTATTGTAAAAATCCTCGCCACGAGTCTGACACGATATTGTAAGACATAGGGTTAATATAACATAATGTAATAAAAATGTAAAAATTAAAAATAGAATTACTAGTACTCAAGTGATAATTAAGTTACAATTGCAAGAAAATATCACAAAATTTTTTATTAATAATAGTATACATATACACTGTATCCTATTACCTTCTTCAAATTGTAAATGGTGTGTTCATCTTCTGCTCTTGATTTCTTAGAAATATTCTTAAAAGAATACGACAAAATTTGTTGGCTGATCTAATACAAATTCCGGAAACTTTTTTGTCATCCCTCGTACAATGTAGACACAAAGTAGTGAGCGTCTACGTTCTCTGATCCTGGCAACGTGTGTCGCAGGATACAAATGGGTAAGATTCACTGGCGCTCGTTACGTAGTGCCAGGAATGGTCTCAGTCGGCAAGGATCTGGACGGATTGACTCTTGTTGTCGGTCGTGCTTTTCATCACGGCGATATGCTCCCCGCGAAGGTGAAGCCCGAACATGGCGTCGCTTACGTCTGTCACCTTGGACAGGAACATATAAAACACGATTTCGAGGTAAAAACGATGAATTCATTACACGCTGTTTTCTTATCTTTCTCCGGTTTTGTGTTATTTGGTAATTCAACATTTTCTAATAGTTATGTTGTCGTTCTTGAAAGAGAAAGATTTGAAAAGTTTAATCCTTGCGCTGCGAATTTCAACTAAAATTTAGTTTAATTTTCAAGATTAATTTAATTTACGAAGTGTAAGGTATAAATGATGTATGTAATAAATTATATTTATGTATTTATATATTTATGTATTTATATGTTCATACATTAATAATCATATTTATATAAATCAATATTTCGATTGATTTGTACCTTAAAATTAGTAAATCAATTAATTTAATCATTTCTCGAAAGGGCATTTATATCTTTTCGATACTTATAAAAGAAAACAATTTGAAACGGATGGCATTTCTATTTTGATCTTTAAAAAAATATAATGCTGACAGATACGAAACGATTAAAGCAGTACGATTCTAAAATAAAAAAAAAGAACTTTAGTCGCTGGTATCAATATGATAGATGGAACAGTTTAGCGACGTCGTTTTGCCCTGGTCTTTCTCGGATTAAGGTGCAGAAATGTTGAGCTTTCGAGGATCAATTGGACTCGCCGTGAAATGGACCAATTTACGGTTTTGCTGTACCTCTCTTTCAGCAAGGGTATTCACAGTGACGTGACTAGTACTTTTCCTTCTTTAACGTCATATAATTCTTCAAAGCTATTAACTAATAAAAATCTTTGCAGAGAAAATTACTACATCAGTCGTGTGTTATCCGATTTCAATTAAATATATACACGTTATTATCACGTATACTTTATTATATTCGCGCAGATATTTCTAAGTACTTTTGTTTATTACTAGAAATAAGCGAACTATTCAGCGAAAGATCGAATCTACAGTCAGTTTTAAAACGTCTGGAACGAAACATTGAAAGGAACATCATAGATCTTGTTGCCAACTTAATTTAATTATTATGTAACTAAGTGAATGTGCAGATAAAAGAAATATTTAATAATATTCCTCTATTTATTACAAAGGCTTTTAGCATATAATACAATCTAATATTTCTACGTGTCAAACGTATAAATTGACGTTTATTCTGCTTATGAATATTTACAAATTAGAATCTTTCGATGCATAGAAATCTTTTCAAAGTATTAAATGTATTGTTATTATTTTAAGTAATAATATCAAAATAATATGCACAGATAATAATAATAACTTTTTGTTTTTCTTGATAGATTCTGTTGCCAGCTGATTTTAACTGGACCCGAGCTTCACATGGCCACGTTCCCGAAAACGCAGTCGAAGCTGGAAGAACAGTCGAAGGAGAGATGCTTTATGTTGGTCGTACATGGCACAGGGGTGCGCCATGTGTCGGAAAGGTCAGACTCAGAAACAATTTGCACTGTTGTTTGATTTTTTAAGGTGAATGTACCAATAACTAATCAAAGTTAAAGTTATATAAATGTAAACATTTAATATTTAATGCATAACATATAACATATAATATATAACATTTAATATGAATATTTATATATATACACATCTTCTTATAATTTTATTTAATTATTTATTGGGCATATACCACTTACTTTACAACTAGAATTTAATAGATTCTCATTAAATAGAGTTGATGAATCACTGGCGCTAAAATAACAGATTCATTTTAAAAAAACTGTATATCATTTATCTAATTAATAATTATTATCATTGTAAGGATTTTCTTTAACGGAATCTGAAAGTACATAAGCATTAAGGATTTCGTATTAACACATTACGGACAAATAAACCTCTTTACTTGATAAAAGTTTTGAAAATGAGTGTAGTTCCATAACATTCCTTAAAATTAAATATTTAAGTAACCTAACAATACTTTATAACTACGAAAAGATGTTAAATAACTTAAAATGTTTCATGTAAACAAATAGCTACCAGACATGATGAGCAACAAAATAGTCTGTAATGTGTTGATAATGAAGATTAATTTTGTAGACAATTTATCCAGAACAATTTTATTTTTATTAATTTCAGGTGCATAGATCTCACGGTGTACTATATGTGCCCTTCGATGGAAAGGAAATCTCGTTTAGGGAATATGAAGTTTTGGTACAAAATTAGTATTGAGTAAATACATACCTCGTATATTTATTTAAACATCATGGAAATTATGTTCAAGCTACAGTCTTTTTTAAATGTAGTTGACAGACTATAAATCATTATACAAATTTTCCCATCTTTATAGATTATTTTGTCAGAAATAGAATAAGAGAAAAATGTCTTCATCGATTAAAAGATTTCTTCCCATAAAAATGAAATCAAATTATTATTTTTGTTAACACGCACGTTTTATTGTAATTTACAAAATATATATATATATTTTAAATGTATGCAGACTCACAGTCTAGTTTTTGATTAATTCACACTGATAATGGAGAAGTTAAAATGAATTGATCGTATAACATAGTTATCACACAATGTATTATTTCATCTTTTATAAGACATTTATTAACAACAGTAATTCCAGCAGAACGTTTGAAAAATGTGGTATTATATTCCATCCGACAGCTTGTTAACTTACTGTAAATTAGGGACTCCGAATTCAGCTGACACCCCATCCGCGGAGCGACTAAATAAATGTGGTCTCTCTCTATTTATCTTACATAGCACAGTCGCTGGAAATTATGGGAGATTGTGTTGAATCTAACTTCAAACTTTAGCATTATTCGGTTCTTGTTATGTCTTTAAAAATAATATTCTTAACTGAAAAGATAAGAAATACTTTTATTGTATATAATAAATTAGACGTATAAATATAAATATAAATATAAATATAAATATAAATATAAATATAAATATAAATATAAATATAAATATAAATATAAATATAAATATAAATATAAATATAAATATAAATATAAATATAAATATAAACATAAATATAAACATAAATATAAACATAAATATAAACATAAATATAAATAATAAATGTTTATAATTAACAGAAAAGAATAACAATAGAAACAAATTTTTTGGTAAAGACATGATCTGAAATTTCTAAACCAATAATCGTAGATTATAATTTGTTGAAATACGACCGGTTTAACAAATATAATGTTTTTAATATTAAATTATATTTCTAATTATTAGGTATTTACTTTTTTTATCACTGTTATTTTTTTAATTTTAATATAAATGAAATAGAAAAAATTATATGAAATGACTTATAATATCAAAGTAATATCTCTTCCACATTTCCTTGGCTAAATATTTTCACGAGAGTATTCCATTTACCTGGTAATATACACAGATTCAAACGTTCGTTCAAACTTCGTTATAGAACCTCTAAAATTTCTTACATAAAATATCATAAGATTTGCAAATTTTCCAGTTTTTCAAACTTCCACCCCATTTTCATATAACACGTTGCCTTCATCTCGTTTCAACCAACAGCTTTAAAGTTTTAACAAAATGAAACTCTCTGGTCGTTGAAACAACACTGAAACAACTAGAGCAAAATTGGAAAGCAAATACATTCTGATATATGGCCGGATCTACATATAAATGTTTAACATAGGATACGCGCAGGGGCATCACAGTTTCCTAAATGTATTCACAATAGCAGGGATTAAGAAGAAAGTTATTTCTTTCGTTACCTATTTCATTCAATAAAAAAAGAATGAAAATACTTTTGAATAGGCATTTATACAATCTGTTACTTTATTCATTTCGCATATTTGTATATATTATTCAACACATGAAATCCAAGATAAAGGAATCTAACTCGTAATCAAACATCAAAAATACTCAACAGAATATTATTAATTACATATTAAACAATTAATTTAACAAGTAGTTTATTGAAAATCGATCTCCTATAAACATTTCCAACCGAAATCAAGCTAATAATAACAACATATCATTGAAATGTAAATGTATTTAGCAATTACGTATTAAGATAATTATTAATTAGTCTCTATTGACACCGGGTTCAAGATAATACGGATCTTAATTATTCACGAAGTCAGACAGTGATGATAATTCTATAATTTTGTAATATTAGTTATTAAAAGAACGAACATCTAAAACAACGAAGCTAAAACATGATTTAATGTTCCTTAATTAAACTACATTAAAATTATTCATTTCTTTTAGGCTTCCAAGATTGTACACTCCTTCACAATAAATGTACATCTTCAATGACCGTAGAATTCATTTTCCCTCGATCAATTATTAAATTAATTTTGCAGGAGCGATTATCAACGAAATTATCAGGCAACATATTAACTCACGCACTGTCAAGAGGGACAGGTAAACCAAATACATATCAGCGATCTCACATACTTTATATCATTTCGAAAATAAATAATTTCACCTGAATACTATAACAAACATATAAAGAAACCAGAAAACGATTATAGTTTCAATTTTTATAAGGATCACACATTAATTATATTAACCTAATTACGTAAGTGCGGTCCACAGTCCTCTGCGTAAAATATCGTAAATTTTGAAACCAGTGAAATTTTCACTATATACTTGATACCATTGCTATGCGGAGATATTTAAATAAGTGAAAACCAATAAATACAATAAATTTGTTTATTAGTTGCTACAGACGAGAATATTCAACATTAATCCATTCGCATCATTAAGCGGAATAATCCGTACACAATAACTGTTGCTTATCACCAAGAGCGGAATAATCCGTACACAATAACTGTTGCTTATCGGCAAGAGCAGAATATTCAGCGCAAAATTACTTTTAGTTGTTTATGTGTACTCAGCTATATCGGTCGAAGCAGATTAATTTCAATGAAAAACTTCAAAGACTCTCAGTCGAGCATCTCTGTTTCATAAACTAAGCTTCACATTTAGAACGAAGACGCAAATGGGTTAATCGGTAGTCTTCAGACTTCCATACTTAACCCTTTCGCTACAAACGATGCTATGGACGAGATATCTCGTATACCTTTATTATTAATATGAAATGTTTTATTTGACAAACCAACACAAGTAATTGATTTTTAAGACACTTCATCGTTTGGTAGACGGTGCTTAAAAATGATGAATAGAAAATACTCCATATTTTACACAACCAGAGTTTATATGGTTTATTTTGTATGTAATACTTAGAAGCATGATGAAATGTGTAATACGACGGAATAATTTTTACAAAAATACCTGATTTCCTTCCACCGGCCATTGTGTTTGCAAACTATACAATGTATTATTGAATGAGATTTTTTCTGTGGATTGTACTTTTGTACATTAGAAATCCTACATCGATTACAATTATCCTTCTTGCAATACTCAAATGATATTGGTGCTCTAATATAGAAGTAATGCTGATAGACGAGCTATTTGACGCAGTGAAAATAATTTGCGAATCTCCTACAGTGTTCACAGTTCTTGTAATTCACCAGACTCTAATTCTACAAACATAAGAACCAATTCTTAAAACTTAATTAAGCACCTTCCATCAACGATGACGTGTTTCAAAAATCGATTACTCGTATCAAATTCCCAAATCAAACACTTTGTATCAATAATAAAGGTACCATTATTGAAAACAGCATTGTCTCTTCAACATCGTAAAACCAACACGTCTGATCCATTGCAGCGAAAGGGTAAGTGGTTAAACGCTCGGTAGTTCTAGCGTTAATGCGAGTAATCAGAAGCGGCACCGTGCATCCTCGGTATATACCTATCCCACAACGCAAAAAGCAACCGGTGGCCGTTTTTTCACCGCACACCCGTTAGGTGGTGGGCACGTGGCCGTTGCGGCATTATATTCCCATGGCTGGCACGTGGCCGCGCGCCCGGTACCCTCGATATCCCCTCAAAACCCAGAACCCCGCCACCTCTTATTGTCGGAGAGAGCCTGTGCCCCCCCGAGGGTTTGTCGCGCTATTTAATATTTTGATCGGAGGGGGAAAGAGAGAGGGAAAGCGGGAGCGTAGCGTCTGCGTTCCGTTCCAGCGCGCGAGCGCGGCAGAGGGGTTGCCCACGTGCTCGCGATCGTTCCCTTTTGATTAATTTCAGTACGGATCGACTGGCACGAACGTGGATGATGCTCTCGACAAAGAAAAGCTCTGGGAAAGCTCCGAGCGAAGGGCGGGCCGGCGACTTCGTGCGAAACAGA